CACACACACACACACACACACACACACACACACACACACACACACACACACACACACACAGCAGCTCTTCTTCTCTTACAATTAAAAGTCTGCAGTGTTTCGCTCCTCTGAGGATTCGAGCCTCTGCTGCTGCTGCTGCACTGCCCCCTGCAGGACACACTCAGCAATGACTGCCCACAGATGATGGATGAAGACTTGTGTCTGTTCCTTCTCTGGACATGCTGTCTCATCACACACAGACACACACACACGCTGCACTTTACAGGGACTTCATCCGCCACAGAAAGTAGTCCCCATAGATGAACTGCATTGAGCGTTAAACTATTTCAACCTGATTTGAAGAAGAAGCCGATGATACTTTCTTATATCCTTTACAACATTTTTGTCTGTTTTGAGTTTATTGATTAAAAATAAATGCAAAAGCATGAAATTAAGAGATGTAAGAAATACTCTTAGTTCCCCTGAAATGAGGCGACGCTGCACAGAGGGGATCACCTGCCTCTTTTTCAGCTTAACTTCTGTTTCCGTACAGAAAAGTTTATATATGAGCCAAAGATCTGCGGGAGATATGAAACAAGCAGGTTAAGAGGTGATCATGTCACCTGATGTGATGACTACAAGCTAAAATTTACATATGAAATGCCCTTAAATCAGGGGTGGGCAACTCCAGGCCTCGAGGGCCGGTGTCCCTACAGGTTTTAGATGTATCCTTGAACCAACACAGCTGATTTAAATGGCTAAATGAGCTCCTGCAGTTCTCCAGAGGCCTGGTAACGAACTAATCATGTGATTCAGGTGTGTTGACCCAAGGTGAGATCTAAAACCTGCAGGACACTGGCCCTTGGGGCCTGGAATTGCCCACCCCTGCCTTAAATCATTAGCAGGGCTTTTATTGTTAAAATCTGCATCCAGGATCAAAACAAAGCAATCAAACGCCTTATTTCGTCACGCTCATTCCACCTCAAACCATCGTCAGGTTAGCTCTGGATTCAGCCTCATATCACAGCATGGTTGGTCACCTGTGGGCGGGTCAACACTGAAGAGAACGTCTCTGAAATCCAGAATCAGGAGTTTGAAAATGAAGTATTTAACATCTGGGCTCCATCTCAGTACATGAAGTTTTCTGCACTAACATGCAGTCCATCTACCTCACCTTGACATATTTTTATTTCTGTGACTTTGATTGCTAAATGTCTGCCTCAGGCTTTGGTTAAGCTGTGAATCATTAAACAATCGTAAAGCGGACGACAGATTTCCCTGCTCTTCGTCGTCATCAGTCAGAGAGCAAACCTATAACCCTGTAAACCGAGCCTGAGCGGCAGAATCTGATCAGACCCGCTCAAAGTGAAACTCAGGTGGACGCGAAAGAAGCCAGAGGCCGTCAGAGTCGCTGCTAATTAACCGCTGAGTCCGTGTCATCCATTTCTCTCTCTAATTACAGCTGTTAACCCCGCGCCTGCCGACCGGTCGCCCGCCCGCCGCTTCATTAACGTCTCTGCTGCCTCTCTTCTTATTAATGTGCTCTCAGAGTGTGAAAAATGAGCCGCAGGGTTTACCATTTGCAATAAGAGAGAGAGAAAAAACTTTTCTCCTGAAACCTTTCTGCCGCTTTTTTGTTTGCTCCTGTTGATGATTCAGCTTCACAGATTTGTGTCTTTCTGTCCTAAAACTGTTGCATTCAGAGCGATCAAACATTTGAAAATGCTCCTGTTGAATGTCTGAAAGAGGTTCAGCACTGCAGTCACACAGCACAAAGCAGGATGGGTAAAAGAGTAGGAGCTAAAGGCCTTCATCACTCATTGGTGATGTCAGAAAGCCAAACAAACGATCATCTGGGTGATTCAGTCCAATCAACCAAAGACTTCTCAGTCTACTACTGCTGCTGCTGGGACGTAACACAAGCAGTGGTGAAACATAACTGCGTACGCATACTCATGTTGTAGGGCCAAGTTCACAGTTTGGTAAATCTTTGTTGGTGCAGCAGAAATAAATTATGACGTCTTTAGACACTTTCACACATGAACTGGTGGTTTCCAGAAATCCTGTCTCGATGCATCCTCACACTGGAAATAGAAATGAACGTGTTACATGTGGAGAGCGTGCAGGAGGCAGGACAAAAAGCTGAAACCACAGGTGCAGGTGGTATTTCAAAAACAGCCCTCTTGGCTCCTGCCTGGAACGTCCATTATCAAATGATGTAAGACAACTTCACAAACCCAGAACTGAAACTCAGTAATGAGATGATCATAAGTCTGGACCTCCATAGCGAGGAAGTCTCGTGCCAGGTGGCTTGAGGTGAATTCATGAACCCAGACGTGAAGCACGGCAGAGGTCGTCTGGGTTCATAAGGCTTCAGTCCAAGGAAGTCCCAAACCATATCAAACATCCAGCAAAAAACAACTCGGGAAGAATTCATGGACACAAAAATTAAATGTGGATGAAGGAGCATCACAAATTTGGGCTTTCAGATCCAATGAATCACCCAAGAAATTGCCTCAGACAAAATCACAAACACAAAGAAAATCACGGTCAGGACTCGCATCACAGTTTGGGCCCAGAAAGTCTAATACTGAACCAAACATGTAGCACCAAACGACTTAAGATGGTGGAGGTGGCATCGTAAGTTTGGGCCTTCAGACGCAATGAACCTATGAACCAATACGTGAAGAATGGCCGAGGCAACACTGTAAACTGGGGGCTTCAAACCAAGGAAGACGCCAAACATCAGGGGATATACTTCACAAACCTAAAGCTCAGTTACATTGAGGTTTGAGGCTTCTAATTGGGACTTAACTAAAGATACGTCACTTTTTATGGCTTCTTCCCAGTAACTACACCACAGAATGACTTTGAACAGGGGAAATCCACCCTCAGAAATCACAGGTTGCTCTTGTTCAGTAAAGGTTGTTAAACTGTTTGTCAGTTACCTACCTAAACACACTGTGTCTTTGTGTCACTGTGACTTAGACACAGATCAGATCACATATTTATTCACTCATTTAATGCAGATGTGCATGCAGTGTCTGGGTCAGTCAGGACCTTGACGGCTCCGGACACTCTCCTGCTCCTCCTCTTTGTCCTTCCTCCCGCTGTAATGTCTGATTCTTTTATTAATCCCGTTGGGGAATCGTCTCTTTTTGTAGCCCCCCACCTTCCTCCCCCCACTATGATAAAACTTAATTGCTGTTCGGTTTGAGCTAAATAGCTGAGCGGGTCCATTTAAGTCTTAATTGATGTGTGATTAAGAGCGTTCGAATGGCTCCGGCCGGGACGTTGGAGGAGGAGGAGGGAGTGTGCCGGGGAGGAATGTCACCTTCCCAGAGGACTGGACTCTGGTTTCCCGGTCGTGTTGGACACTTTTCCCTGACAGATGGCTGCTTACCATCCTGGAAGACTCGCTCCACGTTGAGGCCGTAGGTGGCGCAGGTTTCATAGTAGGTGCATCGTTTGAGGTCGTTGGAGAGCTTCCTGGCCCGGGTATCGTCGATCACCCTCGGGTTGGTCGAGCTGATGGCGTCTGAGAGGGAAATGACAAAGAAAGAGTATGAGTCTAACTTTAAATCCACATTTTACAGTAAAAGAAAGAAACTCAAAGGCACCAATCTATTTTTATTCAGGCGTTTACCCTAATGTAGGTATATAAGGTGTCATAAATATAATAAAAGCCGTAAGACTGACTCAGTCATGTATTTTATTAGAATTCTGGCCTGTAGAATCAGAAGGAACGCCTCCACATCAGCGCTGTGGCTCATGAAGGTGAAAAGAAACAAGAGCCCAGACTTTAACTAGGAAAACTTCAGCAGTACTCTGGCGCCATCTGCTGGTTATGAGAGTAATAAGCACGTTTGGATTAAGCTACTTCCAAGTGCAACAAAATAGGTAGTAACAAATCATGCAAAAATCTGCCAAATAACATCTATTAGTAATATTTGTAATTATTTATACGAGAGTATTTCACTTTAAGGAATGAACGCCTCCATGAACAACACTAGAATTACTTTAAAATGACTCAGATGTCACTGGAGGTGACATGAAGAACCTGTCCTGTGTTTAAAGACGTTTCCTCCTGTTTTAATGTTTGAGGGACCACATGTGTCAAAGTAATTGCTCATGTTATCACTGTACCTGCCTCTGTTTTATTTAACCTATCTGCTAAAGAATGTAGAACCAACTCTTAGATGTGCTGGCTGTTAAACTCAACATGGGTTCATGTTGGTTTTTTCAGGTGAACACCAGGAAAAAAGGCTGACAGAGGCAGGCAGATGTTATACAGGTAACTTTAACTGCGGCTGGAAATGAATATCAGAATGTGGAAGCGGCGTCCTGAGATGATTTCAGTGATTACACAAACACTGGGTCTTTATTGTTGCTCGTTTGTGGAGAATATTTGTGCTCTCTGGTGTTTTTCTCCCCGCCTGCAGCTTACAGGGACAAACTCAGTGAGACTGTAAATACATTCATACATACAAGATTTCAGCTCAGTAACAGCACAGCAGGACTCTGCTTCAAGAGTCAAGAGTCGTCAACACAGCTAGGCTTTCATTGTTTTTTGGCTGACTCAACAAAACCTAAAACCCCAGCAGGAGATAACAGGTATCATGCTGGTGGTTTTCATCTTTCTTTGCTACCTGCTTCAGGCTCTCTTCCTCAGAAAATCATCCCTATGAGTGCCCCTACACCAATCAGACATGTTAAAACTAGAGATGGACCGATCCGATATTACGTATCGTATCGGTCTGATACTGACCTAAATTACTGGATCAGATATCGGAGAGAAATAAAAAATGTAATCCGATCCAAAGTATCACAAAATCACCTCACAAAACATGCTACTTGGCGTAACCCAGCTCGGCGCATCGGAGCAGTATGTGTCACGTGATAGAGCGGCTGTTGTCTGCGAGACCTGTCGGTGGTCTGTTGGAGCATTTGGAGCCTCGCTACATGCTTCCTAACTGCGGCATTTCATCTCGGCGAAAACTATCCCAGAGGAGTAAAACAAGTGTGTAAGTTCATCCCTGAATGTTCGCATAGTATTTCCACGTTAAGTTAACAACTGATATATTGAGCCACAGATGGACTGCCCATCGCAGTTCCATATTGAAGTGAAAAGGAAGCGATTTGTCTCGTACTTCAGTTAGAATTAAAAAGTAGACACAAAGCTGGAGTTATTCTGTCTTTGCTGCGCAGTTGCATCTTCTTCTCTCATTCAGTCCCCCTCCCTCTCCTGTTATTACTTCAAACATGAAACTGATCAATGATCAGCTGATCGGCTTTTCTGTCGCAAGTCCCGTCTTTCTTGTTTGTTTATCGCCCACTTTGCGCTAGAAAGAGGAGACCAGCGGATAAACAACAGCAGCACGTTTAAGCTTGATGAGCTGTTGTTAGAATGGATTTAATGTTACTTTCTAGTATCAGCTGATGTTTGCTGGAGCCACAGCTGTAAAAGCTGCTGGTCATGATATGTGTTTGTATATGTGGTGAAAGGGAAACATGAAGATGAAACCAGGAGATGTCCTTACTGGATCATCACAGCTGAACAGGTGATGGAGAAACAGGTTTACCTTTTAGGTGACATGAATGAGTTGAAGGGAAGTTATGAACTGTTTCTGAGAGACAAATAACACCAGGATCCTTTTTCTACGTAGCTGACAGCTGGTAACTGTGCAGGGGCGGGTCTAGCAAAGTTTTGTCGGGGGCCAGGTTGGGCATTAACAGGGAAAGGGGGGCACAAAGAAATGTTTTTCTTTGTTATGTCATTTAAAAACTTTGAATAAATAATTATCTTACAACAAAAGTGGTCATCTGATTAAATGTATAGAAATCCATTATTGCATATAGTAACTAATAAGTCTAATATACCCTAGTAAGCTATAGTATTTTTTCCTTTGGGAAGGTACCATCTGTGCAGTCTGTAATTCTGTTGAAGAAAGATGTTGAATCTATTTAATTATTGTAGAAAATAATTGATTTCTGTGCATTTGTTTTACACATGCATTAAATTAAAGGTGATTCCATCGATTAAAGGCGGACGGTGGTTCCCTAATATTTTTGCTGGGAGTTGGCAACCCTATTAGTTAGTTAGGTAAGTACTCTATAAAAAGCCAGAATAGGGAGGTTGGTGTAGGTTTGAATTTATTAGATTGATCAGTGTTGCTGAACTATAAAATGTTTTGGGTGCAGTGTATTTTTTGCATACAGGTATAACAGAATAGCTTCAGTCTCTTGTTTTTTAAAACTTGAGTATAAACTTATACAAAATGCAGCAAGATATTTATAAAAAAAACAGTTTTATTGATTACAAAATACGCTATATCGGATTCATAACGGTATCGGCAGATATCCAAATTTATGATATCAGAATCGGTATCGTGCCATCTCTAGTTAAAACACATTCTTCCAGCAGAGAACTTATCAAGTTTTTTAAAATCATGCTGTAAATAAAAATGTGCTGCTTCCAGATGATTTTAAACCCAAAAATAAAATCACCAGGTCAGGAGCAGCATCAGTTACCATGGTGAGCTTTGACTCAACTGTTTATTAATCAGATCATTACTTTATTGGATTAACTGATCCATTAAGAGTAAAACAAATGAAAATGCTGCCTTAAAATGTCCAAACAGAGGAATAACTTTCAGTTCAGACTGATAATAAAGACAAAACTGTAACGACAAAGAATTATTCATGTCCTTTGATGCGCGGATTGGCCAGCGTTCAGCCTAAACACTCTACAAATCTACTGATGTTTTCCTGCTGTGTCTTCTCAGTTTTATGGTTCCTATATCTGGATCTATGTAGAATAACGGCAGTTTGCAGGGCAGACATTTTTTCTAATACTTTTATGAGTGCATAAAATACAAATAAAGAAAAGGAGGAATAAACTTAAAGTTAACAGCAGCCACAAAATGCTAATCAGAGACAATGAAGTCAAGTTTACAGCTGCAATTAGGATTGTGCACCACTAGGTGGTAGCAAAGCTCTAGAAAAGCAGACTGTCCAGAGAGAAAGAGAGAGCTTCCTGCTAGGGACTAAAAATAAACCCCATCAAGTAGTTTTAAACAATACAAAGATTTGGTGTTTATACAGAGGCTAGTGTGTGTGTGTGTGTGTGTGTGTGTGTGTGTGTGTGTGTGTGTGTGTGTGTGTGTGGTACCTTGTGTGCCGACAAGCACCAGCGGCAGGTCAGCGGTGTTCCTGTAGTTGGCGAGGCGGCTGAAGTAGTGATAAACAGTCTGAAAGCTGATCTCGTCCTCCAGACTGAAGACAAAGATGACTGCGTCCACCCATAACGCAAACTGCACACACACACGCATACACACACAAACAAGGTTGTAAATCCAAACTTTATTTAAAGCATAAAATCATTATTTCTCACAAATATCAGCCTAACAAAAATGCCGGGCTCTCTGGGCTCACAGTGTTCTCACAGTCCAGTCTGAAGGAGGTGCAGTACCCACCTGTGCTTCCGGGGGGCCTCCTTCATCTCTGATGAGCAGCAGGTGACTCTGACCGTCCACTACAATCTCCTTCTTAAAGCGCCCGCCTGCAGAAAAGACACACAGGTTACTAACAGCGATGCCAGCGGTGGGAGGAGGTCTGATCTACAGGGAGGTGGAACCGATCATCGATTGATCGGGCTGATCGAGTGTGAGATGATGAACGCTACACAGGAGGGAGGTGATTGGACAGGAAAGTAAACTAATACATATGGGGGGATGACGGAGATAACCAGCAGCTGAGAGCGAAAAACACTAAGGGTTAAAAAAAAAAAAAAACACAAAACGGGGTAAGCCATCTTTTATGTACAGTCTGTGGCTGTGACCACATTTAAGCAATACGGAAGCCTCTCAGTGCCTTACACTGCTCTAAAAACCAGCTTCAAACAGGGTCAAAAATCCAGGGGGGGCAGAAGGAGGAGCTTCCTGCTCCCACCTGATGTTCTGCTGTAACAGGTGCCTGCAGATGACTGAGGACCTGGAACATCTCATCAGGAGCACTGATGATCTGACAGCTTCTGCCTCTTTCTACCCTGAACTCGTGCATTTTGTTGTGCTCTGACCGTTCATCTCCGAGCTTGCTGTTGCTTTAAGAAACTCCACTCTTGACACAAATATAAACAGCAGTGTGGCAAGTCACTGTGGGAACGAGCGTCTCTTCCTCAGCATTTACAGGAAGTCACCGGTGTTATTTCGGGCTCTCTCTCTCTCTCTCAGCTGATCTTGGGATGGCGTGGCCGAGCTAGCGCAGCTGCAGTAATAACACAGTAGATGTTTAGAGAGCGGCGAGCACAGGAAGTGGACATGTTTCCATCACTTGCCCTTTCTTTACCCTGACGTTAAATATTTGCGTCAAGAGGAGCTAATTTTTGTGAGAGGGGCTGCCTTTCACAATAAGAGCCCTCAAAGCTTCTGAGGAGTGCATCAGCACAACTTATGACAGTGGATGTCGATCTTTTATTTACAGTGTGTGTGTCTGTGGTCATTCTGCGATGAGTCCAGCTTGATAAACTGATTAATACCTTTAACATGTAACTAATGTCTTCACTGATCAAGTCATCTTACTTCTGCACCATTATAGGAACAAACGTACGAAACAGGATCATAAACACAGCTGACTGATCCCCACATGCAATTAAAGTCTCCAGTGTTACGATTTTCTCTTTAATCGGTTAATAGAATCACTTATTGATTCTTTAAAGAAAAATAAAAAGTCATAAGTTCATCCTTTGGAGTTTAAACAGGCAGAAAAAGGAAAGTGAACACGGATTTATTACTAAACATGAAAAATGGTTCACTAGTGATCTGAAATTAATCTAAGATCGTTCACCTTTTTTGATCAAGATGGAAGAAAATCAGTGAAGCAGGTGAACATGATGAGGATGGAGGCGAGAAAAAATATGATTAGATAATGAGGGGGCGGAGCTACACATTCAGTCGCCGCAGCCAATCGAGTTCAGCTTCAGGTTCAGCAGCTGGAAGCATTAAATAATCCAGATGTTTCAAATCTGACTTGATGAAATTATTTGTACAAACATGTAAAAAAACAAAAAACAAAAATGAAAGATGAAGCAGTTAAATCCCTGGAGACGTGCAGCGTGATGTTTGGCGGTTGTTTGATGACGCGGAGATGAGACGCGGTGCTGAACCCGAGCTGATCTCAACGTGCTGCTGTCTGAACCAATGAGGCGATGGATCGAAGGATAGAGGGATGGACAGGTGAAGGAGAGAGGAAGGATAGTTACCTGCATCCACGTCAGCTATTGTACAAGATCAGCCCCGAAGGAAGAAAGAGAGGAAACAAAAAGCAAAACAACAGCCACAGTTAATGCATGCACAGTCCAATCAGGAGACAGCGAGGAAGGTGTTTGAGAGAGGTTCAAAGAGAGGACACGAGAGAGAAGAAGAAGTAGAAAGAGCAGTAAAGAACAGTACACAGTTTCATTTGCAGTCAGCTGGAGGTCAAAGCAGTGAATAAACAAACACGTAAACACGAGAAAAGCTCTGAGAGGAAGAGGAGGACAGAGGTGAGAGGAAGGATGGACCGCTTTCCTTCATGAGTTTGGGTTCATTTATGTCACTGTCACCACCTCGTTACTGCAGATTTATACAAAGACGCTGAGTCATTAGACATTGCTGAGGTCACATTAATCACTTTCAGCAAACTTGGAGCTGAACGAAGACGTTTGGATTTCTTTGCCATTCTGTAACATGCTGAACGTGTTTTCTCTGTATGAGTAATGATGTGGAAGAGCCAGCGAGTACAAAGCTTTAACATGCTGCCCCGCCCCAGCATTACACTAAAGATACCTAATGGCAGCAGGAAATCAACCTTAGACTGTTTTCATTATCAACTATGTTTTGGGACCATTTCAGAGTTTTTTCTTTATGTTTTTTCCTAAATGTTTTGCATCTGGACTGTTTCAGATTTACAGTTTACTTAGTTTTCAGTTGTTTGAACTCGACTGTATTTAGAAAGTTTGACTTTCTGAGTTGTGGTTTTGGTGAGTAGATTTTTATTTATTTATGTTTTTAAAAAAAAAAAAAAAAGCTTTTTCTGGCTTGACTTTAAGCTGCTTTTAGACTCATTTAAAAACCGACTTCATTCTACATTTTGATTATGGACTATTCAGGGACATGGTTTGGAAGATTTTCGACTTTAGTCCTCTGATTTGGGTCTGTGTTTGAACTGTTTTAGACTTACTGGGGACTTAATTTTGTGCTGTTTGAGTTATTTGGAACTTGATTTAAGACTTTGATTTTGAACTGTGGGTTGAAATTATTATTAAAATTAGTTTGAGGCCCTTTAAAACTTGCACTTGGATTTGAAATTTTCTGGGAGGTGGCTTTGCAGCATTTGAACTTGATTTGTGACTTACAATCATCTGGTTTTGAATTGTTTTAGACTTACTGGAGATTTAGATTTGGGCTGTTTCAGTTACTACGGGACTTTATTCAAGACTTTGATTTTGGACTCTTTAAGAACTTGATTGGAATCATTTTGGACTGTTTTAAATTGACTTTGACGTCGTTTTGTTGTAAATTTTGGACATTTTTCAGTTTGAGATTCTGATTTAGTGATCTGGTTTTTGGACTTACTTTTTTGTGGTGTTTAACCTTGGGACTTGATTCAAGACTGATTTTTAACTCTTTAGGGGTTTGGATGATTCTGAACTGGGTTTTGGTTTGACTTAAACTTAATTCGGGACTGAGTAAGTTTTGGATTCAATTTTGGAATATGTTTAGGACTTCTTGTAAATTTTTTAGGTTCAGATTTGGAAATTTTGGGAGGTGATTTAATCTTTGCCTTGTGTGGTGGCCACCATACTCACCTGTCACTGCTTAGATTCCAGCCGGAGACACTAATCCCGTTTGAGATTGCGTCAGGAAAGTTGCCCAGCATAACAATCTGCCAAATTAAACATGTAGAGCGACCCACTGTGGTGACCCCTTGTGGCAAGAGAAAAGTTTTTATGGGCAGGATTAAATCTGAGGTTTTTAAATACACGTGTGTCTTCTATGACTCCTTGATGCTGAGACTCTGTTGACTTCTTGTAGCCGCAGATTGTTTTTCGTGACTGGATGTTCAGAGCTGTACTCCTGCTCCTTCTGGTACGATCACTGAAGAATAAATAATAATGAACTAAACTTTTGGGGTGTCACCTTCTTTTCTGACAAATCGCAGACTGAACCAAAGCTTGCCTCTCCACATGTCTGTGTAAACCTGACAAAAATAATAATAGAGTAATAAAATAAAACTTAATGACTGTTCTGGAAAGACTGGACTGGAGACTTTGTTGATGCCTCCCAGCGTTTCTTTTTCCGTTAAAGCCACGAGAACAATAGAATCTGTGAATGATGTTTGGCTGCTTGTGAGAGCGGCAGCTCCTCAAACCACAGTCAGCAGCATTAGTTTGGTGGCTGTGGGTGATTTCCCAACCATAGCTCCCCTCTCTCTCCCTGTTGTAATGGATCCCATGTGCTGCTGTACAAACAGTCTCAGTCGGACTTTTTCTCAAACTATCAGTGCTGCTTCTGCAGGATTTCCCTCTCTGCAAAGTGTCAGAGTCTTTAGAAATAGAAATAAATCTGGGCATTTCTGACAGTCCTTAAACGCACCACAGAGGTAAATCTGGGCAACCTGCATGTTTTTGAGTCAGCGATGAAGCTTTTTTTCCCTCTGCAGCAGCGAGGCTCCAGCCTGCAGCCTCAGAATAGTTCTGGTCGGTGGCTTCATGGCGCTGCGGTCGCCTCGCCGCTCGCAAGCCACCAACTCCGCTCCCAATCAATCGCCATGGGAATCCAGGCAGCCGGCGTATTTTTAGATCCAAGGAATTTCAAAACAGCTTTCCCCCTTGGGCTGCTTTTATTTCTCTGTGGTTATGCAACGATTTCAGAAAAGCTTTTTATCTCCTTTTTTTTTATAATTTAATTGGACTTGAATCGCCGCTTCCTCGACGGGCAATGGTGCCAAGTAATTCGATAAGAGATAAGGGGGAGCCGTTGTTTGAATGTGGTATGTGGACCTGCTCGAAAAGCCGTGTCGTGTTGCTTTTGGCAGCGCTGCAGTGTAATTAAGGCGGGAGGCCGCCGGGCATTTAGCAGCACGACACTGAGGAGAACGTCACCACCGTGGAAGACTTTCTCATGTTTTAGCGTGAAGTTATCTGCTCTGGGATTCCCCATCGCCACCAACTCTCTCCCAGCTGTCTTTGCTCTGCTTGTAGTTTTTTTCTTTTTTGTGCTTTAATGTAGTCCCTGGGGTCCCCTCTTATCAGCTGACCTTTGATCGACCTCTCTGCAGGCGTATTAAATTAAAAAAAATAAACCTCCTCCTCTTCCTGCCTCCCACACTTCGAAGTCTCTCCGCAGAGGGACCAGCAGCTAAAATTGGTCTGCGGGCTGATTTCGGGGTGGGTCCCCACATAACAACATAACAAAAGCAGCAAAGGTTTCTTCCCAAATAAACCATGTTTGATGGTTTTCAAGGCTTTAAATACACAAAGAGGTCGGCAGGGGGTAATTAGCTGCAGCTCCACAGCGGACCCTCAAAAGTAGCCAAAGTACTTCTTTGACTCTCTTCCGTCTGAAGACTTCTGGCTGCAGCATTTTTAATTAGACTGAAAAATTCAAAACGTTCTGCAGAGGTTTTAAAGTAACGGAGTTTCATCTGGTCAGCCAACTTAAAGCTTTTAATGTGAAAGGACAGCGAAAAGAAGGGTATTGAGCACTAACGCAACTAAAACCAAAACAAGGAAATAGTGAAGAAAATAAAACTTTCTTTAAAAATATGTTAACGTTACTGAGCATAGACACGAGTTTTGAAAATATTTATTGAAATATATTAGACTGATTTTTACTGCTTTTAGACTTTGTTTTGGGGTGTTCGGGACTTATTTTGGGTTCATTAAATTGGACCATGTAAGAACTGATTTCAGACGGAGTTTGGTCATCATTTTAGACGTTTTTAGAGTAATTTGATATTGATATTTTGATATTTGATATACAAATTGATGTCAACGAATTTGGGCCTAATTGTAGACTTGTGTTTGGATTGTGGTTCTGACCTGATTTTTGCCATTTTTTGTTAATTTTGGAAAATGGTTTTGGACTAAAATGTACAGTGAAAAGATTAAGAACAAAAAACGTTCAGGCAATCATGGTAAGTAAAAGCAACAAAGAAGAAATGAAACAATAAAAGATCTTGTTTTAAATTCTTTTGTGTTTGTTTGGGGACTTTATGGACCTGGTCTGGGTTATTTAGAGTTTATTTTGGACTTTTAATTTATATATTTACTAGTTTTAGACTGTTTTCAGACTTGATTTGAAGCTGTTATAAACTTTTGATTTTGATTTAACTATTGGATTTTCATCCTTTGCATATTCTTCTTTTAGCTCTTTTAAAAACTTTTTAAAACTTGGTGTCAGGCTTCATAAATATATATTTTTAGTTATGCACGAAGGACCAAAACTGCCAAAATTAAAAAAGAAATAAAAAACACTGATGATAAAAATAAATAACTTGGAAAATAAATATAAAGATGAGTAAACATAAAAGCAGCTGCAAGATGAATTTAAAAGTTCTAAACGTAATGACGTACTTATGTATAAATAAAGACAGATAAAAAAAAAAAAAGGAAAACAGAAAAAAATAATACATAAGAAAAAAAACATTTATGTCTCATGTGAAAGACGGCAATCATTTTAAATATTTTTATAGGTGCATTTAATGGCATAATTTGTGTTATTGGCTTGCTTATTTTGGCAAGTTTGGTCCTCCATACATGCCATTGATTTCTATATACAGGCAGAGGTATCGCCCCTGTTAGTTATCAGAAAGATGCAGTTTTTTTGTTTTTTTTTCTGAGGGAATAAAGAAGCGTTTTTGCTTCAACTAAACAACTCGAGCTTAAAGCTCCTCACCAGTGGTTTGAACTGTGAGTTCGGTGCACCACCTCTCTGGACAGTAGAAGGATGAATGAATGAAAAGTAAAAGCGCTGCAGCGTCTGTCGGTGTGATTGATAAAGGAAAGTGAGCAGAAAGTGCCTTGGCTGTGCGTGCAGGATCCCTGAGAGGAAACAGCTCATGTGCTGAAATATTAAAGCGGGTTTAGTAAAGTGGGTCTGTGCCTGAGGACCCTGCCGTCCTGTACAGTAACAGTGTGTGTGTGGGCAGCTTTAATATTACATGAGGAATATGGCCGTCCCTGCAGGGCGAGTGAGTTGAGACACCGGAGGAAAGTAGGGCTTCATCTTTTCTCTGAGACAAAAAGTCATCTTTAAAGTTTCATAAGTGATTCTGGGTCAGCCAGCAGAGAAGTTTAACCTTTCGAGTGTTCACTGTTTCTCAGATATTAAGCAACTGAGCGCGATGTTATGCTTAAATCACTTCTTCTTCACTTTTTAAATCCACGCTCACGCCCCAAAGAGGTCAAACTTGTTGGTTTTTCAGTAAGCAGAACAAATATCTAATAAAAGTTTGACTTTTTAATGTCACTTTCTGCTGTTTTCATCTCACTCAGTATTCATTTTCAGTCACTCATTGCTTATATTGATATATTTTCCCTCTAACAGGCTGACAGATCGGCATTACACCAGCAGATCTGATCATTTAAAGCCTCCTGCGGTGATTCAGCTCCATCTCAAACTCTACAAATGTTTATTTGAACCCAAAAAAAACCACTTCAGCTTTCTCCCAAAAGTGGAGTGAAATCTCTTTTTAATGCGACTTGGAAAGCTTCTGAGCCTGACTGAGGAGCTTTTTTTCGCTCTGCTGGTTAGGCCTGTGCTGTAAGGAGGTCGTTAAATGACGTTTAATCCGCTCATTATTTTCTCCTCTGTGTTTTAGACTGATTCAGTCTGAGAAGGCGGACGACTGCTCTGCCATTTTATTAGAAGAAGAAGAAGAAATAGCTGGTCCAGCCAAACAAAGACAGACATGCTATGATGTTCTTACCCTCTGGTGACTCCTCCTGGACATACGTTCCCGTCAGGTATCTGTGGACCAGCGCTGACTTACCACTGGCCAGATTACCCACAATGCCCTGAGGGGGAGACAGAAGGGAAGTTAGCATCTCCTAAAACATTCAGCAGACTGTAATCACTCCATCAACAGGAACTCATACTGGTTTTAAAAGTTTTCTAGTGTTGCTGGTGAAGATGATATAATTGAAGCACATGGAGCTGTTACTGCTTCTGTGAGTGGACAAACAAATGCTTCAGCAGAAATGAAATATGAATCATAGTAATTTTTTATTTGTTAGGCCCATAATAATCTCAACTTAAATTTTAGTTAAATGAAAATATTGATATTTTACTCTTAAAATATTTATACATTATGTGAATATTTAACTTTTATCTTTAAATTTTAATATTGTGCTATAAAAGCTTTTTTTTTAGTCCCTAAGTTATATCATAATTTTGACAGTTTAGACATAAAATGTAATATTTTACTTTTATCTCTGAGCTTAATATTTTGGTCTTATAGTTTTTATACTTAACGTAAATATTTGACTTTATTTTAACATTTTGCTTTTAAAGTTTGCTTCTCATGGTTGTGATGTATTGTTTTAATTTTGATGTTATAATCTCACAACTTTGACATTTTACTTTCATAATTTTGACATGACCTCATAGTTAATCTCATCTAATCATTTTAACTTTTGAATTACATTTTCAACATGTTTTTAAACTTTTATCTCAAAACATTTAACTTATGAAATTTTAATCTCACAATTTTAACATCCATCATTTATTTTATTTTATTTTATTTAATCTTCAAAGTTAAAATGATCAAAATTGTACATCTGTTTGGTTATCTTCGTGTATTCACTTCTTGTAGTGTCCTAAAGCCTACAAGTCAGGAATCGTGAGACAGAAGTCCAGGTCGGGTTTTTAGAAGTAACTAAATCTTCAAAATAAAATACTTAGAGCACCTTTACATTGAGTTGCTCCCCTGAACAGCAGCCAATCTCGACATTTAAAAAATAAATCTCTTTAATGTTTCTGTTTGTTGTTTGTTTGTTGGGATTTTTGTTAAGTTTTGGCAGGAAATGATCTCCATAGTGGTATGCCATCCCACTGAAGCTTGACTCTTGGACAGGTGACCCCCTCCCCTTTAACGCTCTGAACTCACCACTTTGAGCTCGGGCACCGTCCGACTCAGCGTCCACTCCTGACTGTTTACAAACGCATCTGGAAGACACAAAGAAAGAAAAAACACACATTATTAAACTGTGAGGAACATGTGATGCCTTCAGGGAAAAAATGGAATTAAAAATGCCTGATGGAGTAACGAGGCAGCCAATCAGCTCCTCCTCAGTGGTGTCAAGGGTGACAAAGAGGAAGAAGAGGCTTGTTAAGGGTGACAAAGAGGAAGAAGAGGCTTGTTAAAGCTGACAGACGACCAACACCAGGCCAAAAGTCACAGCAGACTGAACACGATAACAGGACACGATCAGAAATACCGTCATGGTACAGAAGAACCATGAAGAACCACAGCTGAGAAAATACAAAGGTTAAAAGCAACCAAAAAATAACACTATATAAAAACGTATAAGTCCATTAAGAGGGAGATCAACTTACATTAATCTATATGTTCTTTAAGCACTTTAATCTTAGAATCAATCAATCAAATGTTAGAATCAGGAAATAAAGACAAAATCAGTAGATGAGAAAATATTTGTATTCTAAATTCTTCTAAAGGTTCCCCACAAATTAACTCCTGCAACCATCTGAGGTGCCGAGTGTCAGAGGTCATGGGAAATGAGGAGGGCGGAGGCCAAATGATGTCAAACCACACACACACACTTGCACTGTGTGTGTGTATGTGTGTGTGTGTGTGTTATTGGAGTGCGATAATGTTGGTATTATCAGGGAGGTCGTTTCCACTCACACTGCAGAGACGGCTCTCTAACAAAAACACTCTGTGGTTTTAAGAACACACACACACACACACACACACACACACACACACACACACACACACACACACACTTCAAACAGGACAAAACACCAGCAGTGAGAAAACACAGGCCCGTGGACCAAATCTGGGCCCTCCCACTGAAAGAATGTGGCCTCTTACAGAGAGCTGGGTTTGTTTGTTTTCTACAGTCAGCTAAAAACCGTACAGTAAAGGTACTCTAACACACCTTTAAAGTATTCAATATGGAGCTGTAGTTCTTTAAGTTCTGTTATCAAGTAAATAGAAAATGTTTCAAAGCCTCAAACAAACTTTACTGGATAAGATACAACAAATAAAATCAAAATATTTAAAGTCACATTTCAACTCATATTGAAATCACAAAATTGGGACATTTTAATTTCATCTATATTGAAACTTAGTCATAATTGGCATTTCAATCTAAAAATATTTATATTTATACAACTTAATTTCAATACTTTGACATTAACATGTCTGTGGTCACATATGGGGAATCTCTTCAGTCTGCATAGAGATGTGCGACCTTTAACCTCTGAGTTTATCATTAAAGAAGCTGTATTTCAGTAACTGCTGATGAACGCCTTTCATAAAAAAGAAAACGTGAGGCGTCCAGATGTTTTCTGTAGCCGTCATCCCACCGCAGGCTCCTTTAAAACTGCTGGACTCTGAGACACCTCGGGCTTGCCGTTAAGTAGGCCAGTGGGCCAGAGCCACTTAGAGCCTCCAGCCCCTCTTTACTAATTCATCTGCAGCAATCTGTGTCAGCCTGCAGACCCTCAGACTACACAGTACTGACAGGAAGTGCTAAAAGCCCCATGAAACACTGGTTTTCTAACGCATTGATACCTGAGACTCACACTGACAGTTTTCGTGCAGAGTGTGCGATGCTCCCTATGGAGGAAAAAGACTGACAGAAAACTAATAAATATCTCAATAAATTTATTTTCTTTTGATTCAGCTGGTTTCTGATGTTTTAATGTAGTTTCTTTTTTACATTTTTGTCTCAATTCTGAATTTTAACCTCCTAGGCATCCACATATGTGGACAGCACGTTTTCGGTTGTCTAGACCAAAATACTTAATTTTTCTCTACAAGGGCCTGATGTCCACTAACGAGGACATTATACTGCCACTGTTCTAACGAAATTTAAAACTAATGTCCTCATATGTGGATCTCATTTTTCTCAGAAACAAAAATTAGGCAATCAAGCAAAAATCTGGTAATTCTTTGTTTTTACATTCATCAGGTCCCAATCAGCCCAAATAGCAAAGAAAAATTAAAAATGCATGCCATGATAGAGTTCGGGTGTTAGGAGGTTAATCTCCTCATTTTAGCTTAAAAACCACTGACTTTCCACCACACAGCATCCTGACTGCTCCTCTTTCCTCCCTTTAATGAGCCCAAACTGCTGCTGCCAACATCTCATCTGTCTGGAAACCATCCAGAGAGGAGCGTCTCGATTGGTTGGCGGGCACACAGAGGGGGACATTGTTCACCCACTCAACAAACGGCGGCCTGTGTCGGGGCCGACCCCTCCCTCCCTGCCAGGCAGGATGTTGACCCAGCTGCTTCCTGTTTTCCATCACAGCCCTCCAGTTCCCCTCTGCTGGTTCCCAGTATGATGCACCAGCAAAGCGAGGAGATGGTTAGCGGCTGACGAAGCATCAGCTGGTGGTTGAACTGGGAGGTGAGGCCGGGTTTAAAGGAAGAAATACGACAGCTTCAGGCTGCACTGATCTACCTTTGGAGCTGATTTGGGACTTTTTTTTATGACTGAGAAGACCACTGACTAACATCTGCACAGTGATGATGCTTTGTCGTGTTTTGTGATGACCGCCCTTAGCTACGATCTGGTATTTTTAGTCTACTTCCAGGCTGCCGAGGGGTCATCACAGAAACAGAAACACAAATGTCGACTGAAAGAATCTGTGCTGCAAGAAGAGGGAAAGTCCAGATGAGATGAAGCGAAAGCATCTGGGAGCGCGTGGGAGGAACACCTGAACTCAATCAATCCGTCAACGTGTCGTATTTACGAGGCTGAGAGGAAGAGGGAGACAGAGGGCCTGTGGGTGGATGATACGACTCCATCACGGCCTGACTACATGAAGGCGGAATCTCCAAAATTAGGTCATGAGTTAGAAACCCAACACACCTCCTTTCCTCCACTACAGCTTCACGCTCAATAAAAGCAAACATCCACTAAGTGATTTATTGTTTACCCACTTAAAAGGCAGAGTGAAAGGTTTATACCACCACAGGACACTTTTTTGCTCTTTTTCTGATGTAGCAAGTCGAAATTCTTGATTTCCAAGACTCTCAAACTTTCTGAGATTAGAAAGTTAAAATGATCAGATGAAGGTAGAATCATGAGGTAAAGTAAAAAATCTGAGATTAAATTGTCAAAATTATGAGATGGGTTCATCACTTATTCTGATTACTGATTACAAAGTACTCCAGATTATGGAGTATGAAAGACTTCACTCATTTCAAGACCACACTTTAAAAAGGAAAGCCTTTTAACATGTAATGGTAATGTAATGATGGTAATAGGCCTGGGCTATATCATACAGTTCACGGTAATACTGGTGTAATGTTGGAGAAACAATAAGAAAATGAAATATCGCGATAGAATATGGGTAAAGCGCGCGTGCGCAGTGCCTTTGTTTTCATAGGCACGTGGCGGCGACGCAGAATGAGAAGGGCGAAAGCGGATCGTTGAATGAAACAGATGAACCAGAATTGGTTTGTGAAAATGCTGCAACTTCAGTGGTGTGGAACTGGTTTAGCTTTCATCCATCAGAAAAGCAACAAAGCACTATTTTTGGTAGCGCATGCTAGCGGGCCGTCGTTATTACCGTGCTTTTTGGAAAATACGGCACACTTAAAATCAATCCTTTGATTTTTCTGAAAATCGACAGTGTCCCTTATAATCCCGTGTGCCTTATGTATGAAGTCTGGTTGTGTTTACTGACCTCGAAACGATTTTATGTCGTACACGGCGCTTGAAAATCTGTCAGATGTTTTAGTACGACTTTGTTAAGCTACGAAGCCGCACCGCTTGATTGCTTGTCAGAGCATTACGGCTATCGTAGGCAGGAGCCTCGCAGAGTGATCCGTACTGTGCTTCAACATAATATTACCGTATTGTGTGTGTATAACCTCTTTTTAAGTTTTGTGGATAATATACATGGTTATGCTGAGGATATGTCGGACAATTTCCACTGGAAATGCCTTTTGGTTAAACTGTCACATCAGTTATATCGTTATCGCAAATTTTCATATCGTGATAAATATTTTTGGTCATATCGCCCTGCTCTAGATAGTAATAATATGATGTAATAATGGTTAAGTTTTAAAAGCGTGTGTTTTGACCTTGTAAAAACGCTAAGATTGGATTATGTGGAAATGCAACACAGGCAGACTTTGCTTTATTTTAAAGTGTCATGGCTGTTTTTTGTTAATGGGATAAAATAGCACAAAGGAAGAGAAAGAAAGGGTGGACCAGATGACAAGGGGGAAATGATTAAATGCTAAATGTGCTGCATGTTTTAACCTAATCACATTTGAAGGATGATTAGAAAAACATGTTATTCTTCCACCTGAAACAAACGGAGGAGAAAAGAAGAGGACAACAGGTAAGATACGAAGGGGAAAAGACAGCAGATGGAGTGAAACAGATGGACGAAGACCATGGGAAAAGGAAATGGAGAGCTCCTCTGCTTCGTCATCACTCAGGGAGGAAAAACTTGGAAATGAGAGCGAGCGTCATGGGACTAAAACTCTCCTCCATCACTCCATCCCTCTGTGCAGAGAAAGAAAGGAAGGAGGCCTTCAAAGTGAGGCATCAGGACTCCTGGCTCTCTCCAGAATAATCTCCTTCATTAATTCTCTTTCATTTCACTCGTTTGTCTCTATTTTTATGCTCCGCTCTCCCTCAGAAAGATGGGGAACATGTATGAGACGACACATCTTTGTTTCTCTTTATAAAGAGGAATTGTTTAACTTCAACATTTACCTTCAGTTCCGACCTTCAACATGAAGAAGCCAAGGTCGTTTAGCTTTCTGGTGATACACTTTCAACACAAAACTCTCAAGAAGCCACGTCTCTTCAATAATTCAAACATCTGAACCCTATTTGAACAACCCTAAGTATCAGAGTTTTAAGGAATAAAGCAAGAAAAATTATCTCTAAGAGGTGGCTGTACCTCAGGAACTCTAGAACTAAACCAGAACCAAAGATTTTAGATCCTGA